CATATAAACGTGGATGACGATAATCAATTGTCATACTTAATACTGGTTGATAAAGATTAATAAATGTTTCAAGATTTGATCCATCAAGTAAACTTCGATAGATAAGTGAATGTTGAGCATCATAATATGTACTGATATACACATAACTTCAAAAAGAAAGATTTTATTTTGAGAAAACTTTGAAAATTTTTTATTTTTACCCTTGTAATGGATGTACATTAACAGATGAAATTGTTTTCATATTCGAAAATGTTAATCGATTAACAGATGTTAACTGTGTATAATCTATATTAGCATGCATAATTTCAATACCATTTGATGATGATGATGGATCATCATAGAGTACATATAGAAATCGATGAATCCAATCAACTTCCAATGAAGTAAAATGAAAGAATGCAGATGACCAAATCTATTCAAAGAAAACTATTCAGTTTTATCATATAAGAAAATAGTATCAAAAACCTGTGTTGCATTATTTCGTAAATGATTATTTAAATCAAGATTTCGATTTAATTTCTGTTGCCATATATAACCACGTCCATTACGTTGTTCTGTATATAATAAATACCAACTATCGTTAGATGGAATAAAAACAGTATCAATAGCATGATGAGAAGGATTAATAGGCTAGAAACACAAAACTTTTTTCATATATAAATTAAATCATAAATCTTACAGTAAATATTGAACCATGTTGATTAAGATGAAAAGATGCGCGAGGATTGAGCATTATATCAAATGTTTGATTACTTTTCACTACACATGATATACCATTTTTATTCTTTAAAAATAAAATAACATATTGTTAATTTACAGAATAGAAGAATTTTTACTTTCTGTGTTTCATAACCTCGATCACATTGACAATCAGATATTTGTACAGTTGATTTTCGTTTTAAACATAAATCTGAATCATCTTTTTTATGAGATATATTTGCATGTGCACATGTACTATATGACCAATTACATAGATTATCTTCTAATATACAACTTCTAAATATCGAATAGTCGTTGAGAAAGAAAAATACAAAAAACATTTTTTATTTATCTTTCTTACCCATTTGCTATTTTAACATAACCATTTTTACATTGACAAACAGGTAAACGATTAATCATTTCACAAAAACTCGATATTGGATCACAATTTGTACAATTTTCTATATATTTCAAAAACTATTACTTATTTTATTTATAAATTAACTTACGACAACGCCATTTATGTTCATCATCTCCTAATGGACATTGATTTACACCATCACATAAATTCATTAATGGTAAACACAATGGTACATAATCATTTTGTTCATATCCTTGTTGAGCACAACGATATCCATTCATACATGTATAATCTTTAATAATTGATAAGGGTAAAATACCATTATTATCATCACAATTTTCTTCATCAGATGAATCTGAACAATCAAGATCACCACTAGAATAATGATTTTATTAGAAATCGTAATAAAAATTCCTTTCAAATAAACTTACTCGCAAACAAATGTTCGATTAATACAGAAATTACTTGTTTTACATCGAAATAAATCAGCTGATTCACAAGATAAATGAACTTGTGATGTTGGTTTTAATGTTGATGTTGTTAAATTAGCAAAATGACTTAGTACAAAATCTTCAAAAAATAAAATTTGTTTTTTGAATCAACATAAAATATGAATTCTTACTGCATGCTTTCGATGTTTCATCTTCACTAATCCCATTCGTTCTTTCGGCTGCTGGACAATCATCAAAATTATCACAGACTTTTTCTAATGGAATACATTTTCCTGATGTTGGACATTTGAAATATTCATTAGGACATGTTACATTTACACAATCAAATGGTTCATCAGCACCATCATCTAAAATATAATTTTTTAATGATAATAAAATTAATCGACTTCGTAACTTACAACAATAAGGATTTTCATCACATCGATGAGTAATCGATACACATTTTCCATCACAATAGAATTCCACATCAGAACATAAATTCGGATATTTTTCTAAATAATTTCAATGTTTCTTTCATTCAATAAGCAAAAAAATCTTTTCTTACTGGTGCAAGTATTTAAACTTGGCCATTCACAAAAATGTCCACAAATAATATCATGTTCATCTTCGCCATGTAAACAATCAGTTATATTATTACATAGATCATTCGTTGTTATACATTTCTCACTTGTTGAACAACGAAATGATGATGTTGATGTATTACATTTAAATTCTAATTAAATTAAAAAAAACATTCAAAATTTGAACTAATTTTTGTATTAAACCTTGACAATTATTTTCATCTTCATTATATATACAATCATTAAATCCATCACAATGTTGATAAAATGGAATACATTTTTTTGATATTGGACAATTAAAAAAATGTCTGAAAAATCAAATAAATGAAAACGAAAAATCTATTTCTATTCAATCACTTACTCAGCACAATTAGGTTTACATGAACGACCATCATCAGCTAAGTTGTAATATTGTGTACAACCACATGTAATTTCTGTTTGATTAATTGCATTTGGAAAACATAATTGTTCACAATAATCACATCGTTTTTCCGCAACTATTTAAATATGATTTCGATTTTATCTATGAAAATTTTATTTAATATTTCTACCTTTTCTTTCATTTGAATTGATTATTATAAAATCATACATTTGAATTGAATATCGAAGATAATAGAGATTATGTAATGAATTCAATGTCCAAGTACCTTCACCAAATCGAGAGGATTTATCTATTGAAATACATATATAATTTAAATAAATTGCAAATGAAACATACTGTGAAATGTTTGTACAACTCGATTAAGGTCAAATATAAAACCAGGACCTAATAATGTTGTACCAATTGCATGTTTTGGATTGATTCGAAATTCACTACGATTTGTATCTCCAACATCAATAAAAGCTTTATACATTTTATCTAATAAATTATAATTTAAATTGAATTTTCGTCTTTACAAAAAAAACTTTTTTTTACCAGAAAATATTTTAAATGAATGAAATCGTTGTATTGCTTGATGTTGAATATGAAGTATTTCACCATGCATATTTAATGTAAATATTTTATCAAGACCATTGTAAAAATATAAATGATGTGTTATACGATCGAATGTTAATAATGGTCGAAGATAATTTAAATTATCAATATCATTCATTGTTTTTAATGTAAATAAAAGTTTTAAATTGGTACCATCCATACCAATACGTAAAATATGATGAGCATGAGATTTAACAATAGCAGTATAGAAAAGTAAACTAAATAAAAGAAAAGTCCAGTAAACATAAATTGTCTGATTGCTTGTGTGTTCGCAGGGTCAAAAAAACATCGAAGAGTGATTTTTCGAAAAAGACATTTTTAGAGGTGTTTCGATATGGGGACTTCGAATCTGATGTTAGTTTTTTTAAAAAAAGCATTTTTCTTAGACAAACGACATAGTTTTTTACAAAAATACTTTTTTTTAAATAAAATTTGACGAAACGGTTTTTGAGGTCGGGGAACACGAATCTGATGTTAGTGTTTGCAAGTTCTCTTTCTCGTAGAGAAGAGTCCAGTCAGAATAAATTGTTTGCTTGCTTGTCTGTCCGCAGGGTCAAAAAAACATCGAAAATAAATTTTTCACTTTTTTTTATTTGTTTTTTCAGTAAATGTGAAGAAAATGGATTTCTACGAGAAAGAGCTAAGCGAGTCTTCGGACGAGCGTTACTTGTTATATAAGCAAAAGGTCCCGTAGCATTGTAGAATACCATCTCTATGAGAAAGAGCTGAGCGCGTCCCTAGACGAGCGTCAGTTGTTTTCTATTAAGAATAATTTCTACTGTACATACCCTTTTTCTGGATATAAAATAATACGTTGTGGTAAATAATCACTTATTGTTTGATGAAGAAGAATATGACAAAAACTTCCGTTAAGACGACAGACGTCAATAGTTTGTAAACGTGTATTAACAAAATAAATATTTCGATGTAACCAATCGATAGCTATTGATTGTATTGAAGTATAATCACGACCATTAATAATTAACTAAAATAAAGTTTTTGGTTTTTCTAAATAGAATATTAACAACAAAAAATAGTTCGTACTTCTTTTTCAAGTACAGGTTTATTTAAATTAATACGATATATTCCACGAGTTTTTGGACAAGTCATAATTACAGATCGAATTGGTGTAGAACATTCAACAAAATAAATATGATTCTCAACAGGATCATAATCAATTAAATAACTATGATTAGTCAACATTAATAATGTGTTATTATTTAACCAATCTTTCGATTTTTCTAATTCATATTCATTTGTTAGATTTAGTTTATATATTCCATTATTTAATAGAGCAAATAAAGATGCTGAAAAACAAAAAAAAAAGGTATTTTCATAATTTAAATTCTTTTTTTTCTTACCAGATTGATATAAATTTGTTCGTAATACACATGTATGTTTATCAGATTTTAAATGATAATTTTCTTGACATGAACAACGATATGATCCAAGTGTATTTATACAATAATGATCACAAACAACTCTTTCTCGACATTCATTGATATCTTCACACATACCAGTTGTTTCATTCATTCGATAACCAGCTTGACAAACACAACGTTTATTAAAATAACCTCGACAATATTGATTTTCTTCTGAACATGTATTATTAATTAAACAAGGTCGTTCAATTAATGATAATGATGATGAACCTTTGAAAAACAGAAATAACATCTTTATCTATATAGAAAAGTTTTCTTAATTACATTCATTAACATCATCATTATCATCATCGTCATTATCATGATCAATTAACATCGTATTACATTCTTGTTTTATATAACATTCAATATCTTTTGGTAAACATTTATCTGTTAAACCACAACGATAAAATAATTTTTGACTAACATAATCTTCAATTGGACAACTACATGACATTTCATCACTACGATCATGACATTGAGTTATTGTATCACATAGATTCGATTTTGGTATACATAATTTCGTTGATTTACATGCAAATTGATCAGGAGTACAAAAACGAGGAAAACCTTCAGAAAATATAATAAAACGAAGTTATTCTCTATAGAATAAAAATAACAAAGAGAAACGATTCGCTCCATTAGTCTGAAATATATCATGATCTAAGTAATTAGTCGAGTCGATATATCCTTTGTCTTCTCGTTAAAAAAAAACTTTTCCTTACGGCATGTTGTTGAAGATTCATCACTTCCATCAGCACAATCCTAATAGAAAAATTGCAATATATATGACAAATCGAAAAAAAAAGAAAAATCTTTACTTGAATTCCATCACAAACAGCATTTGATGGTATACATTGATGTTTCGATTGACAAGTAAATTCATTAGATGAACATTTGATTATCATGGGACAATCTATTGAATAATTTATTTTATTTCTTCTATATTTTTCATTATTTACCTAATTCATCAGATGCATATGGATCAAGACAATCATTGATTCCATTACATAACAAAGTTTTTGGTATACAACGATTCGTTATTTTACAATTATATTCATCTCGAGAACAAGTGATTAATGGATTTCGTTGAGTGCATTGTTCATCGATACCATTACGACAATCAATGACACCATCACAAACAGATGATCTTTGAGAATAGAATAAAACAAGAAAATGAGTATAGATTAAACATGTAATTTAACTCACAGTCTAAGGTCATATTCAACTTATGAAATTATATTGAAATATAATTTAGAAAATGTAAATGTTATAAATATGAAGACAAATTTCTTTTCAATGATTGTATTACTATAAATATTATGTATAAAAGATGCAAGTCACGTATTCAACTGAAAAAGCTTTAAGGAACATAGAAATTTTTGATTAATAAAATTTGAAAGACATGTCGTTCGTTCGTTTGCGAAAAAAAATGGTTATTTATGACAATAAATTAACATACAAATTTAATTAATCTTGACATAAACAAACTTAACCAGTTATATTCAACTAGACAGAATAAACTGATTTACATTTACAATTACAAGAAAAAGAAAACATTAGATGTCGAAGGATTTTCGAGAAAAAATATCAATAAGACCAAATTCTTTCATTTCTATTATATAGAAGAAGAAGAAGAAGCTCTCGTACATATCTAATTTTTTTATGCTTCAACTTAGTTGATAGTTATAATGAATACCTTTTCTATATATGTTTTCTAATCAGGAAAGAATCGTCATCTATTTCCTTTTTTTCCTTCTCGAAGAAAAATACGATGATTTGTCTTTTTTTCTTTTTCTGATATATATGACTCTACGCTCTAATCGGAAATGAGTTGTCTATATATTATTTAAAACTTCGTAAGTCGAACGTAATAAACAACTGTCAATTATATTTATTAAATCTACGAAGAATATTTCTATGTAGACTTTTTTATCATTGATAGAATTTCTATGCATAGAATAGAGGTGTCTATGAAGTGTTGAAAGTGCTAGAGCATTTAAAAATGGATAGTTATCCCTAAAGGCATAATGTCTGCGACAAACGGAATTGAAAATTAACATGATTATTAGAAATTGACAGTTAAATGCTTTTTAAAATAATGGAAGTTGACATAAAATTCAAAAATGTATAAAGTAAACATTAATGATAGTTATTCTAAAATAGACATAAAAGAATTCTTACCGTTTAATACATATTTGTATAGGTCGTGTATATTCAAATCGAATACCATGATCAACTAGGCGTGTACTATGAAGTATATCTTGTTCACAGTTAATAGAAATTTTTGTATTGCATAGATCATTATTAATGATTGCTGTTGAACAGTTGACTTCATCTGTTTTGTCTTGACAGTTATATTCGCCATTACAAACGAATGCATAAGGTAAACATTGGACGATATCACAACGAAATAAATATGGTGGACAAGCAATTGATTCACCTATTATCAAATATATATATATATATATGTTACTGAAAAAAGAAAATAATAATTACCAAATTTTTTTAATTCATCCAATAATAAATCTTGTTTTTCCGCATAACATGTTAATGAATTGATGATTAAGAAAATATAGATCAATATAAACTGCATGATTACTTTTTCTTTTCTGTAAATGAAGAAATTAGATAAGACATAAGTAGATAAAAAACATATATATATATACATATAAAATCTATCAATCTACAGGCGGCACTCTTCCATCGTCACAACTGTTAGTCAGAGTAGTAGTCGTAGTGATGAATACTAAGTTCATTCTTTTCTCTTTTGCTTTTTTTCTCCTTTCTCTTCTGTTCTACACTCACTGATGAGTCCACTCTATAGTCCGTTTTTTTTCTCTTTTCTCTTCTTCCAAACTATCGGTCGCAATGTAAATAAGTTGTTCAATGAAGATCAGGATATGTCGAAGAGAAAAAAAAAGAAGAAAGGAAAGAAGGAGAAAGAAAAAATGTCGTGAGTATTGATGTTTTCGGGAGTCCATTTACCGAACACTCCGCATTGATTGTTCTTTGTTACTAGCGCATATGCGTACTGTTGTCCGAGTTAAATCAAGCAATAGTAAATTCTTTTGTCGGTAATGAAAAGAATGAGAAATTATCATTCTTAGATAGAAACGAACTGATTTCAGTACTATTAATTCTCGTCTATCAGACAAACAAGAATGGAAAAGAAAAATTGTTTAATATCTATCGTTTACATATATTTACTATTCATGTGAAAATGTGCAGATTGAATGAAGAAAGAAAGAGAGAGAGAGAGACAGAAAAGAAAGAATCTCGCACACTTGACTTTTTACGATCATCTTTCGTTAAAATTATCTCTTGAGGACAACATATGCATATGCTTTTTTTTGCCTATAGGGAGAATCTGATAAGCAAAAAAAGAAGAAGAAGAAATATGTAAAAGACTATTAAGAAATACTATAAGACGAACCCAACAGTTGTTACGATAATCTGCAATGTAACAGTGTCAGTTTGCCAATAACATACTGACGAATAGTTATCATTAACTCGTTTGCACCCTAAACTAACGACGAGTGAAAGAGAGAAAATGAGATTTTTGTTATTCTCTATGTTTAAGATGATCTTTAGGCCACATAAAAGTCTTCTCTTCATTGCCAAATATTTCTTATATAACTCAATAGCATATAAATGATGTAATTAAATATATCTAAACTTTATTTCTACCAAATGAGTGATAGAAATTATGTAAACAAAGTAAATATGATATATGATCAATTTAAATATAGTTTTATTAAAATAAAAGAAAAAAAGAAGTTTTTAAAATATTGATATATTAAAACAAGCAACTAATTTTATAGGAGAAAAAATTGTTCACCAACGTTCACGCATTATTGCTGGTGGTTGTATACGTGATAGATTACGATATAAACTTTGAACATAAGTAAAAACAACTTTCCAATCAGGTTTATCACCCATGTATATCATATCATCTGTATCAATTAGTGGTTCTATACCAGCACGTTCTCTGTAAAATAAATAAATAAATAAAATAAACAAAAACGTAGATAAAATTACATACAAGGCAACAGTGAAAGCTAAATCGAAATTTTGTCGACGTTCATGTGTATTTAATGTTTCAAAATTAAATTCATCGGGAAAATATCGATGAATAATAGCGCAAAATGCTAAACCATCATTCCATGATGAAGAAAAATTTCGAATATTAACACCCTTTTATATGAATATAAACATAAATTATTAGAGAAAAAAAAATTTACTTTATAAAATTGTGTTAGATCTTGACACCAACGTAAAATTATATCTTTAATCATTGTTGGATTTTGTAGACTAAATACATAGAAATTATACATAAATACTTATCAAGAGTATAAAGCCTGACATCTATTATTAAGATAATAACATATGTAAACTTAAAATTATGGGTTTTAATTGTATTATTAGAGATATTTATCTTTAAACGATTAAATCCAGGGGATGAACTAGAAAAAACAAAAGTAAGTACTAATTTTACCTAATAATTTTAGGTTTTATTGTAGAATTTGGTATGACACTATCATCAACAAGATCTATAATTAATAAATTATATTAAAGAACAAAAAAAGTTCATAATTAATAACCTGCTCGTGATAAACGTCGTAATGCAGTAGGTTCTAATTTTTCTTTTTTATCATGTTCTCGGATAAGATCTGATGGTTTAACAGTTGAATGAGATATTCGACGTCTTGCCCATATTGGTGCTGTATCACGATTGGCATCAGATGATATTAATTTATATCTACTATTTACAGATTGAGGACGATTGGTTGAAGAATGATAATCATTATCAAGATTTGTAGTTAATGTACTTGAACGTTTTCTTGTTGATTTAATATTACCCAATATTGGATCGTATTCAATATCAATTTCAACAATTTCTTGGGCTATTTATATTGAATAAAGAATTTATTTCGAAAAAAAAAAAACTTAATGAATTTACTATTATTATTATCTTTATTTCCTTGTGAAATATCATGAAGACTTGAACGAACACAATTATTAACAAATCCTTTAATATTTTGTTCAACAGCAGATGGTCGCGTAATATTTTCACTAGAATGACGAAAATCCAACGCATAATTAGATTGACGTAACTGCGGTGTTAATTCATCTTGTTCTTCACTTATGATTGATACTTGTCGTGGTGATATGGATGGTCGATTATCTCGGTCTATTGATTTTGATCGATAAACTGGATCATATTCAGGAACTGGTGATTGAACGATGTCTAAAAAATCGATTCAATATTCATACAAAAAGTCTCTCTTTATTTTTGTAATGTTCTTGTTGGCTATCAGAGCGTGAATAAATTCTGCGGACAGGGGCATTGATTAAATTTCTAGATGCGCCTGTGCGTAGAACTTACCCACAAATCTTTTTGTATTAAATCTAAAGTTTTTGATATAATACAAACCTTTAATTAAATTTGGTTGTAACAGAAAAATGACTGTTTGATGTTTACCACAATGAATACATTGAAATGAAATATCATGTTTTTGTTCTTGTTGATGTTTTATCGTATTATCATATTGATTTACTTGTTGTTGTTGTTGCAGAAATTTATCGCGCACAGATCGTACATTTGCATTCGTATTAGACATCGTGATACAAATGAATAAATGATCGAACTCATCACTTTTAACGTCATTTTTTTCTGATGAGAACGACAACAAAAAAAGGTAACGTTAGTAAATGACAACTATTTAATGTGCTTACTTTCTCTTACTTGTTGAATATTCGAGAGCTATTAACATTTTTACTTTTGTATATTTTTTATTGAAAAAAAAAAGAATTATGAATGATAAGTATGTACACATGCTAGTAACGACAAACGTCAAACAAAGACCATAAAGTTATAATCTAGCAAGGTTATTTATCTGTTGACCTTTGAAATGATGTATCATTTTTTTGTTAAGTGTAGATTTATACACAACGAATTATTCATATAAAAAAAACTAAATATAATCATTCCATACTCATCATCAAATCTTTTTATTCTCTCTTTGTTTCAAATAAGAATAAAATCACATATACAAATTTATTCTGATGAAGAATTCCCCAAGCAAAAGAAAATGTAACTAAGAATTTCAATTCTGATTTCATTAGACGCATATATATATATTGTTTGTCTTATAATTGTACGTTTCAAAGCAGACATAACTGCATGTGTGAATTCATTAGTATAAAAGATTACACATACTTATGTATATATACATACAGAAAAACAAAACAAAACATAGAAAGTCTAACGCAAACGTGTTTTTTTTTATCGAATTATTGAAAAAAGGCGACAAACAAAACATACAATTACCGGTTCAAAATAAAACAAGAAAACACACGCACACATACATGGATTTGACTAATACACATAAATAGAACAAAAAGAAAAAAGAAAAAAAATTTGACAGTACATATTGTATTAATTTAAATTGAATGGTCCTTGAACTTTGAGAAACTAAAATAAAACGAAAAATAAATTTTGCTAGATATTTTTCTTTTATTTACTTGTATCACGAGTGATGGTCCACCAGCCACAATTTCTTGTGGTAAACTTCTTAATGGACAATTTTCAATGCTCATTATTTGTAAATTTGTACATAATGCTAATTCATATGGTAAAACATCCAAATTTGGGTTATCATTTATATAGAGTTGTTCGAGTTTTTCTAATTGTCCTACATCTTCAGGTAATAAAGTTAAATTATTTTCACCAACATTTAAATGTGTAAGATTTGTTAAAGATCTTAAAAATGAAATAAATATATTTTTTTGCAAATTTTATAAGAAATTAATCTACCCAATTGAACGTGGTAATAATGTTAATTGATTAGATGCAACAATTAGTCTTGTTAGTTCTCGTAAATATCCTAGAGGAAAAAAACTTTTTCATTATAAATAATAATAAAGAAAATTCTGTACCTATTTCCTGAGGTAAAGAATCAAGTTTATTTTCTTCGAGATCTAAATGTCGTAATTTCCTTAATTGACCCAATGATGGAGGAATTCTCTAAAATGAAAAAAAACATATTTATTTTTAATGAACACACATAGAATATCTATTATTTTGATGAAAAACAAAAACATATTAATCCCGAGATTATAATACATGAAAAGGCTTTTATAATAATTAATCAATGTTCTAAGAAGATTTTATTTATATTATAGATCAAGTTTTATATAACTAAACAAATAAGATTGAGAGATAAAAACATCGTATTTTTTCTATAGACGAATATTAGATTAAAATCTTGATTACTTACTTTTAATTGATTATTCGACATAATAAGTACTTCTAAATTTTGTAAATTTTTTATATCTTCCGGTACAACAGTTAATTGATTTGTTGCTAAATTCAATTCAACTAATGCTGTCCAAGAGCCAATATCTATAAAATAAAAATAAATCAGAATTTTTTTCTTCTAATTCGAATTCTCTTGTGAACAAAAAAGACGCGACATAATAAAATTTCATTCAAGCATTATTCTTATATTTCATTAGATTTTCTTTTGAGTAAATAATTGTTAATAAATATTGAATACTATTCTGTGAAATCTGACTTCTTTTTTTGTTCCCTAGATTATTCTATACATGACTAAGGATATAGATGTTACGTATCTAGTCGCTCTCGACATGCATTATAATATATTACAAATAGTATCTTATTTTCATTAATAAATCAGGTAAAAAGAAAGCTTCTAGTCTAGAAAGTCTACAATTCAACTGTTTGTCGCTAGGGATTTTTTTGACAAATTTTTTATTAAATAGAAAATCTTTATTCTTAATCTTTCAACAAAAACAAAAAAAGAACCTATATTTAGTTTATGATTTACATAAGCTTTATATCTTCAATAATATTTTCATCTAGTAAAGAAAAAAATAATGTGATACACTTCCTTGTTTTGACACTAATTAGATTCACAAAAATAGCATACATATATATATACATCTCTATTATATTTGAATATCTAATCATCTATTTCTCTCGTGTTTTTATTTTCTTATCGAATTATATACCATACCTAATGGCAAAGATGTCAGAGAATTTTCTCTCATATTTAATTTGGATAAGTATTTTGCTAAAGAAAATATTGAAAATGGAATTTTATCAATTGTGTTACATTCCATATTAATTGAATGTACAGATGTAAATTGTGTTGGACCACCTAATGGAAATGAATTAAAATTGTTTCTTGCTAATGATATTGTATTTAGATGAATTAAACTTGATAAAAGACCTTCCTAGAAGAAAAAACAAAGTATAATTTATTTAGAAAGAAAGGAAATTTATTTAAACTAACCGGTAATTGTGAAACATTATTTCCTTCAATATTAAATTCATCAAGTTTTGAACAGTTTGCTAATGAAGATGGAATGGCCGAGAGACGATTATATCTAATCAATAGTCGACTAAGATTTTTTAGATTGCCTATTAATTCAGGTAAATCAATTAATTCATTATGAGTTAAATCTAATGTTGTTAATTGTGCACAATTTCCTAATAAAAATCAGATTTATATATAGATATAATTATTTCAGATAAGTCCTAACCTATTTCATTTGGTAAATGTTCAAGATGATTATGTGCAACATCAAGTGTTAGAAGTTGTACAAGATTTCCAACTGTAAGTGGTAATAAACGAATACGATTTTCTCTTAAACTTAACATTTGTAAATTCTAAATATGAAATTAAATTAAAAAGCAAAGAAAAAAGAACAGCAACAATCTTACAACTAAATTTTTAATCATATCGGATACTTCTTTAATACGATTAAAACGTAAATAAAGTGTTGTTAAACTTGTTATTCGATAGATAACTTCAGGAATCTTAATAAATATAGAAAATAAATTAATTAGAAGAAGAAAAAAGAAAATATATTACATCATTAAATTTATTATGTCGTAAATCAAGTACTTTTAATTGTACAAGACGATCCATTGTATCAGGTAATGTTGTTAATGAATTTTCACTTAAAGCCAATACTTTTAAATTAACTAAATTACCTATTTCAGGTGGTAATTGTTGTATTCGATTACTATATAAATATAATTCTCGAACATGAATTAACTAATTAAATAATAAGAACATTGATATATAGATAAAACAAACAAATAATTTCTTACATCTTTAATTGTATTTGGTAAAATAGTAACACTACTTTTACTTAAATCAAATCTTTCACTTTGTTCATCACGACAATTTTGAATTTCTCGATTAATATCCTTAAAAAGAAAATAAATAAATAAACAAATATAGAAGATTTATTTATCTAGTTTTGATTAATTATCAACAAATCAGAATATATCATCATGTTCAATTTCTAACCTTTTGTTTAATATAGAACTTCTAGATAAATATACATCCGAGATCAACTTACGGTTTGTTTAGCATTTGCCGCTATACGAGATGTTAATGATTTAAATGGATGAATATCTCGTAACATAATTTTTTTGTAAATAATAAGAATTAATTCATTAAATGATCGATATATGTTCTTAACAAATGACCTCCGTATATACTTAATCGTTAATGACTACTCGATAGATCAACACTAGTAATATAAACAACAACGTTTTGTTCGTTTGCGTCTTTTCTTCTTTCTAGTCTTTGCGCTGACAGATAGATATATAGATGGATAGATAGATAGTTATAGAAAGAATAAGAAAGCAGACAACTACAGTAATAGCAAATAGCGGAGGAGGCAACGAGAAAAAAAAATGTCTGCCTGTATCGTTCAGAAGAAAAAAAAATTGCAGAAGATAAAACCCGTTCTTTTTCTGTTGTTATTCTTGTTTCTGTCTCTTTTTTTTTCTTCCTTCTCTGTCTCTTTCTCTCGCTCTTCTTCCTCCAAGCTCGATGAGATGGAGCGATGACAGATAGAATATATATGTGCGTCATAGAGTTGTTCTATTATTATTATTTTCTTGTTGTGCTCAAATATATTTCTCGTTCAAAACACGCACATAACACCCATGCAGAAAATATTTGAATATAATCAGTACAAGTTTTTTTTTCTAATGCATTCTATATATTTAGTCAAAAAAGATGGAAGAAAAACAAAACATAAAAGAGATTCATCTAGATTTTTCAAAAAGGAATTTTTTTTAATGTAAAATATTTTATATAAAGAGAAGTTTCTTTTTAAATACATACCACTTCAGCACGAATTCTACCGCCACGTATTTCTTTTTTAGTTCCAGATTTAATACCAGCCTATATATTGTAAGATGAAAAGATAATTAATACTTTTTTTTTTAAATATATATTCTTACAAAAGTAACTTGACTAGAAGAACTTGCCCCTGGAGATTCTTTTTCTTTAGATGGTTTGGGCGGATTCATAATCGATCTAGAAATTAAAAGGAATCAAATCTTTTATTTAATATAATGTTCTTCTTGTTCGAACTTCAACTATCTTATATAGATGAATGATATGTCGGAGTTTTGCAAGAAAGAAAAAACAACGGTTGATGAATCAATCTGCCATCATATATAGGAAAAATAGCGATTGATTATTCATCATGTCAAAAGTTTCCACCTACTACAAGCTAGGCGTATGTAAACGTCAAAATATGAAACAAATAGGATTGAAAAGGGTAGTTTTCTATCTAAGTAGCTAATTCTTCATACTTTCTTCTTTATTATCTTGTCGATGAAATAAACATTCTATACATAGTTATTCTACTGTTTGAATATCATTCGTCTGAAATACATCTATGAATAATAATAATAATGATAAATGACAATCAGTCAAGTGTTTATATCAGTGATATAGAACCTACTTTCGATAATCATCAGTGTTGTTACTGCGATTATCCAGTTGTTGTTGATAAGCCATTATTCATATTGCATATTTTTTAAAATAAAATCTTCAATGATTTTAGAAGTTTATATGTTGTCTGATTGTATAGACTCCGATCGTCATCGCTATGAAATATTTTTTATTCTATGAATGCGTCGCAACAACGTCGTTCTTTCACACGCGCTACAATCATCAAGTAACATAAATGAAGAAGGGAAATCTTGAAAACCCTTTCTTTCATTGCGTCCTCTTCTTTTCCCCTTCGTTATGTTCCGCATTGCACCGTTTAGTTTTTGGGCATCATCATCATCATCAAGAAGAAAAAAAACCATGCGCGCACATATGGAGAAAAAAAAAATTCCAAATAAAAAAAAAGAAACGGATAGTGGCGAAGAAAACAATTTAGAAAATATATATATGTAAAGATTATCCCGAAAAATAAATAATCTTCTTTTTCTATTTAAAATATTACATATTTTATGAATTAAATATTAACAACTCATTACCCTTTATGCTAATATATAATCCTGTACTTGTAAATGAATTTTTATACATAGTTTATTGACTGTAGACATTTTATGCTTAATCAACTGCCATGTTCTATCATACACAATGATAGGAAATTATTACATGAAGAAAAAAAAGCTATATATTTATGTCAAGTCTATGATTAACATTATTATTTTCATAGACAGTGAAAAACTATCGTTTTTGAAATTTCTATAAATCATTTTTATTCAAATTTAATTATAATTGATTTACTCATGAGAAATAATTCTATAGGAATACATCTTAGTTTTACCGAACTCAATCTATTTTATATTCTCTGATATATCATTGTCAAATGTCAATAGAAAAGTCTTTGATGTTTCTTTTTTTTGTTGCTATTTTCATGTCTATTGATTATAGTTACAGTATATTTAACTAAAAGATACTCATTGGTTAAACTAAACAAATAGGATATTTTTGTTTTGTTCTATCTAATAAATATAAACACAAAAATAGAAATTATTGATATCTTAAACATGTTTACTAATCTTTATGTTTTATCGCGCTGTAATGTACATTAACAAATATTATTTTCTATTTCGATATATGATTCCAAAACAAAATTTAAAGGTATCGAATTATTTAGCGTACAATAAATCTACAATAAGATTATAAAGTTAAACTATATTTTTTATAATCGTCTAATCTGGTAATCGACGCCTGCATCAATAAACTCCTTAGGCTTTTCAGATTGATTTATATGTTTATATATAATAAAACTCTAATCTTTACTCAAAAAATAGAATAGTTTATTTTCTGTAACAGTATAAAAATTTATATCATTAACTAAAGCTCTAATAGAGATTTATAATCAAAATCTCTTGTATGTAATCAGATTAATATCTACAATACAATATTTCATGGTATTATCAACGTACAAAATCATATTGATGTCAAAAAAAATTTCTTATTTGAAGAAATGTCTACCGACAAAACTCAGCTAACGCAATTACGTACTAGGAAAAAAGCAGGTACCTGTTACAAATACTTTATCAATAATGTTTTTTAATACTACATTATTTCTTAAATTAATATTTATTTATTAAGTCAGTAATAGACAAACATATGGATAAATATTCTGCTTTAGTTCCTAGACGGATAATTTATAGTTATATCACGTCTGTTCACATTATCACAAAAAAATGGATGAAAATTAAAACCTTTCTAAAAACACCTGGGAAACATTGCACACATGTGAATATCCGACAATAATTTACAATTAGATACAAAAACAAGTACACACTAGATAACGTATAACTATCGATTATAATCTACCTTATGGATACTTTTTAAGAATTTGATACGAGAATGATTTACTTTATATCATGAAATTTGATACATAGTCTTTGAGTGCACTTATTTTAATGTCTAATATAAAAATTGATTAATAATTATACTAACAAATATTTTAAGTTGAATATGAAAAAAAAAGTAAAAACAACATACCACAATATAATATTGTCTATAGAGAATAGTAATAGTATATACATATGTTATTTTGTTGAAAATGAAAGAAAAAATGGATAATAATAAATAGTCACGGATTAATGAACAATAGAAAGGTAAACGAATTATTATTATACGAAAAATAGCGATAGTTTTATTAAAATTAATAAAGAGGACGTCTTCAATTCTTTTTCTGTTTTATTGTTAAAGCGACAGTATTTCTGCTATTTTGACAATATCACGGTGTTCTATTTTCTCGCTGCAGTGCAGGCGCATACTCGCACACACACACACACATATATAAGATCGATACTTGTTCGCCTCTTTCTTTCTACACTAGTTGCTGTTGTTGCTACTACTACTGGTGCTATGGCTTGCTTCTTCCTTTTGCGCGAGCTTTGTGTCTCTGTCGCTCTCTTTCTCTTATGCACTTCTGTATCTTGCCTCATGAGTACGCTACTCAACAAGAGACATATACAAGTAACAAGTCGTCCCTCGATATAAACAGAACCCTGGATTTTATAAAGTATTTTCTATTTCTCACTTGTTTTTTTTTTCTTTCTTTTTCTCTCGTCTCATATGCTTAAAACTACAAAAGAACAGAAAGAGAAAGAAGTGTATAGTGTCGTTACGAATTCGTTCGCTTACGTCAACTTCTCTAGTGCAAAAACTCACCTTCTTTTCTCCTATCTTCTTTGTACTATAGGTATGAACGGTATCTCTTATCAAGTCTATCAGTTATAAATATGAGTTCAACTAGAAGTTTGAACAAATTTCTTCTTCTTCTTCTTCTTCTTTTTTTCTTCATGATAATAAACGACTTCGATTTATTGCGATTATAACCTTGAATTAGAACTAAACGTCTATAATTGGTCATCATTCCCGATGATTTTTAAGTGTTCATCGTTCGTTTGTTGTCGGCGATACGTCAAAAAAGGAAGAATAAGGAAAAAAAAGATGAGGAAAAATGACCTTCAATAATAAACAACAACAATCATCATCACCATCCTCGCTGGTGCCTCGAAATCCAGGGATCACTCTATCACTCTTATGTTCTGTTTTTTCCAGGCTCGTCTATTCTGACAGATATAGAGACAAAGAACAACCCTATGTATTGTGTCATGGATGGAAGGACCTGGAGAAAGAAAGCAAGAGGAGAAGAAAAAAAACACAGATTCCAATTATCCGCGTGTTCGTCGTTTGCTTTCTTTGTCACTTGTCGTAGTCAAGGTCACATTACTATTCTTTCAGAAAAATAGAAAATAATATATATTTTACCGACAAAAACAAAATAATAATCAATTACTGACTGCAAATATAATTTTAAATCATAGTTTTATTTTATCAATATACATAACCGTAACAAGGTCATCTTTACTAAAAATAGATAAATATAAAGATGACTTAAGGACATGTCTATTTACTGAACTTGCACTAAGGATTTTTATTTTGATGATAGTATAATACTTGGCAATGTTATATGTTAGGATACATTCTTAAGCATAGATGTGTGTGTCTCATTAATGATAAGTAGTAAAAATAATATTTTCATAAGAGTTCTATGTTTAACTTGAAATATGATTACATATATGAATAATAGCTAAATATATTTTTAAAGATCATGACTTTAAAGCAAAAAATGTATGGTATTCGCGATGATCTAAATAATTATCAATTGACATTGAAGTAAATGCATCCTTTAGGATTATGAGTTTATTTTTACTTCTATATGCTCATATTTTGTTTGCATTTGATTAAAGATCAGAAGACATAAAAATTATATTATGAAATAAAATGTTTTAAAACAAGACATACGATTGAACATACATATTTTAATGATGTAAATCAAACATACATCAGCTTTAACATCATTAAATAATTATTTCTCAATTTACCCACACAGTTATATATAGATGTATATATATGTGTTGACATGTTTACTTTTAGTAACCTAATATACAAAAGAACTCGTTTTTCGTCGTTGTTATTACTTACATTGATAGCATCGAGGGAAAAACAATCTTTTAAAACGACCAAATCAAATCTGATATTATCTATTACAGTTTCCTAATAATAAATGTAGGAAAAATTTAAACGACTTTCAAGAGAAATAGATCTAAACTTGAGATTCTCGTATATGAAGCACAGGGGTGTGACGTGTTTTTTGGTGTTAGATTTTGCCAAAAAAGTGTATTGCGCCCCCCTGCTTTTAGAACTTGAAGTACTGAAGTTTTGCGCCCCCCTTCCTTGAAGACCTCGCTACGCCCCTGATGAAGCATATCCATAGTAAAAAGAGTTTAAAATCATTCTTTTCATTAGAGTACTTAAAATCGATTATATTGCGTAGTTTTTTCTATATATATATATATAAAGACGATAGTTCAGTTTTACCTATGAGTGCATTCTATATGTGGTGATACTTAACAACATTAAAAATATGAAAACGGGAAAAATACCCACTTAAGGTTAGCATAAGTATATATTTAAAAACAAATTGAATTATTCAATTCAATAAACATCTAGTTAATTTTTCTGATTAAATAATATATATTATTTGCTAATTAAAAAAAAAATTTATTTTTAAGATAGAAATGAATATATAATCATTGCATGAAAAAAGAGAGAACCACATTGGAATGTACATAAAGAAGTAAGCCAATAGAAAAAGAAAACAAACAAACACACATGAAAAGATTATATAAAAAGATGGACAAAAAAAAAGAATGAGATTCATTTTGAATCAATGGTATGTTTCTTTAGCTACCCAACCGTCTGGATGTTTCCTAATAAATAGCTTTCGTATTTCATCGTAACCAAAAATCATCAATGCAAATGGAACAGGACATAGCCACCATATAGGTCTAAAAATTATAAATAATAAACTATAAGAAAATCAAAAAGAAAAAACTTTACTGTAATCGTTCGAGAAATATGGCTCGATTAAGTCCTGGAATATAAATCAATAGGACAGCTACAACTGGCATAAACACCAAACAAAAGTTAACAAACATATTTCTATAGAATGAAAAAAAAAGATAAATATGGAAGAGAATTCAATATTTTAAATCATTAACATACGTTCGTACACCTTGTTGAAATAAAGATAAACGACGAGTTTTACATATAAGTAAATTAGCTATTTGTACAACAATAATAGCTGCTAAAAATGCTGAATAACCCATATATTCAAGAATTTTTCTTTGTCGATAAGTCTAAAGAAGAAGAATTTTATGAAATCTTTATTTTTTCATTATAATTACCCATTCTTGTCCGTATGAATCTTCTAAATCATTAATAGCTGCTGCATCCCATGCTTTTCGAATACCTATTAAACGTGATGGCCAAAATCCATTTTCGGCCATAACTACAACCCATGTAAAAAATCCTGCTGTAATTTGTATTAAACCAATTTGACCCCAACAAAGTGATATGAGTCTAATAATATAAATATACATATAAATTGATTTTTTTGATTCAATAGTCTTATTTTTACCTTCGATTAATAAGTAAATCTCGAAATTTATCAATAGGTCCTCTTGTCATTATATCTGATTCTGGTCTTTCATAAGCTAATGAAATCGTCGGTAATAATTGTGTTATTAAATCAACAAGTAATAATGTTATTGGACCAAGTGTTAAAGGTATTTGAAATATAATAAACATTAAAAATGGTGCAAGTTGTGTAGCATTAACAACAAGACAATAAGCTAAACATTTTTTAATATTTTCCCAAAGATAACGACCTTCTTCAATAGCACCAACAAGTGTATTTAAATCATTATCAAGTAGAACAAGATCAGCTTCTTGTCGTGATGCTTCACTACTACCATTAAGCATTGCAACACTAACATCAGCTTTTCTTATTGCTCCACGATCATCCGAAGATAGACAAAAACATGTCACAACAGCTTTACCTAATTGTGCACATTCAATAATTTTTTGTTTTTGTCGAAGTGTTGTACGAGCAAAAGCAACTTCAGGTGCATTTATTATTGTATCAGCTAAATCAAGTTGAGATATATTATGTAAATCACGTCCATGAATAACTACTGCTGTTGCTTGTCTATCGATATTGAAATTAAGAAAAAGTCAAAGTTTGCTATTTTAACCTTACCGTGGTCCAACACGATCCACTGGAACACCAAGTCTAATAGCCACATCTTCTACAGTTTCAGATTCTGGTGAAAAAATTGTTAAACGTTTTGCAAGTGCACATGACGTAACAGGATGATCACCAGAAATTAAAATAACCTATAAAAATTTTGTAATTTTCTTTATAAATCTTATAAATATCAATGATTTACTTTAACTCCTGCTAATCGACATTTTTCAATAGCTGTAACAGCATTTTCTTGAATTGGATCACTAAATGACATTAAACCAAGAAAACGCCAAGTTTCTTGTGGACCATCATCTCGATGATATTGTCGATCAGCAAAACCTTTCAAACACAAAAAAGAAAATAATCTCATAACATAATAAATTAAGTATTCGATTTACCAAGAACAGTTTCACCAAGTGAACCCATTTGTATAAGATTTTCATTAAACATTCTTTCTAAAACAAGATCATCATCATTCGCTATTTCTTCATCATTGATTAAAACAGTTGCACATCGACGAAAAATACGTTCCGGTGCACCCATCATACAATCAAGATGCATTCCTTCCACATTTGGTTCATTATTAATATGAAATGATTCCTTAAATAAAAAAATAATAATATTGAATTTTTCAGAGAAAATAAATAAACAAACAATTCTTTTATTTTCTGGTGTAAAATGATGAACATCACGTCGAGGATATAAATGACGTATAGCTGCTATATCTAATTCTGCATATTCAGCATATTTTATAATAGCGATTTCACGAGCTTCTCCATCCCTAATTAATAGAATATGTTAAAATAAAAAGACAAAATTTTTTTTTCTATTCAACAAACCATTCTCCTAATGGTGCTTGTCGACTTGTATGATGTTGATCAGTAAAATATTCTGCACGACTACAAAGTATAGCTGTACGCATCATTGTTTGCCATCCAGACATTTGCATACATTCTTGTATAACTAGACAAATAAAAGAAAAGTATTAAAAGAATTCATTACAATTAAATATTTACTATTCGGATCTTCCGATGGAGCTGCTGATATAATACGTTCTTGATTTGATGGTATCCATATTTGACTTGCTGTCATTTTATTACTTGTTAAAACAGATTTATCAACAAATAGAATTGTTGTACATGCTAAATCGTACAAAGCATCAATAACTTTAACGAGACAATTTCTTGTTGCCATATGTTGTGCTGTACGTGTTAAACATAACTATAACAAAAAATAATTTAGTTTGATTATTTCGAAATAATTCAGCTTTTATTACATGAATAATTGCTGGTAGAATTTCTGGAATACAAGCAATATAAACTGATATCATAATTTGTATAGCATATAGCCAATAATAACCAGTTGCATAGAGAATAATAAAAAAAATGACACCAAGAGCAAGACCAAATACGGTAAGAAAAAGAAATAAAGTACGAATAGTACGAGCATATATAGTTCTTTTTGGATCCAAACCTAAAATTATCGATTTGTTTTTTTTCTTACAAAAGAACTAAAAAATTTCGTATCAACTTACTTTCGGTTGTATTGCATATTTTACCCAATAAAGTATGTTCTGCTGTTTTAACAACAATACCAATAGCTGATCCATGAGTTATCTTTAAGAAATATAACATAGATGGATTTATAAAAACAATAATTTAACTTACACTTGTTCCACACAATAATAAATTATTTGTTTCAAGTGGATTTGAACTTGTATAATCGGCTGATTTAGGTACAGGATCGGAATCTTTTGTTATAATTGAATTATCAATAAGAAGACCCGATGTATGAACAATACGAATATCAGCTGCTACACGATCACCACCACGTACATGTATAATATCACCTCGTACAAGATCTTCGGAATTAATACGTTGCCATTCACCTTCACGTTTAACATCGACTTGCTAAAACAATGAAAAATAAAAGAGAAAATATTAATTCCCAAACAAACAAATAAACAAAAAAGCAAAAATTTTCTTTATGGATATAATATTAGTGTTTTTCTTAAAGTCATTTATTTATATGTAAATAAAACAGAACGAGTCGATGAATATCCTAATAAGTGCTCAACATTTTTTGTTTAATCCATGTTAAATATGGCACCGTACGAACGTAGACACCAGGAAATCCACGTTTTGAACAACCATAACCATACGATGTAATACCACCTATTGACCATTCACCATTTTCTTGATACATTAATGGACCGCCACTATCTCCAGCACTAAAACAAAAAAACGAACATACAATATTTTGTTTTCTATTAAAATAAAATATCGTCTTACCAAGTATCTTTTGACCAATCTAAAGCAGCAGCACACAATTGTTTTGATGTATCATAATGAACATCCATATATACTCGACAATTTGTTGCTGGTAATATATTAACATTCGCTTGTCGAAGTACATTTGAATGAACGCGTGATGATTCAGCAACTGTACCCCATCCGGCAACAGTTACTTGCGAACCAGGTGAAATATTATTTGATGGTAAACAAATAGGCGATTTATGTTCAGTTACTACTACAGGTCGATCAAGTCGAATAATAGCAATATCATTTTCAAATGTACTTGCTATGAATCTTTCATGAACAAATATACGTTTTGCTCCATAAAGTTCTTCTGAACGTGTTAAACGTATATCATGAATACCAATACGTAAAACAAACAAGGATTCTAATGTTGGATTTGTTGTTGTAAATGGAACATAACGATCATCAATTTTTTGTTCAAGACAATGTGCAGCTGTAAGAACATGCGATGGTTCAATTAATGTACCACCACAAATATGTGTACGATTTTGCCATAAACCAGATGGACCACGATATCGAACACCAATTGATACAAGCCAAGGCCAACCATTTGGACGTGATTCAACTCCATTGATAATTTTTGATAACATTGTATTGAAGAAATTGAGAAAAAATCCACTACGAGTATTCGAATGAAATGAAGATGAACGTGCTGTTCGACCACATTTTGATTGTACAACAAATCGTGATTGATTATCTATTAAAAAATTTGTATGTGTAGTATTTGCTATAAACATATCGCGTATATGATTTTTTATTGTTGTTGATGGTGATTGTATTATTGTTGGACAGCAATAACGTACACTATAATCATCACAAATTTTTCGTTGAAATTTCGGATCATAACTATTTAAACAGAATACATCATATGAACGTAATAAAATCATATCAAGTGTTTGATTCATATCAACACCGGCTTGATTAACAGCTGATACACCATGTGGTTCAGCACAAACAATTGTTGGATGTCGACTACGTATTGCAGCATGTAATTCATATTCACCTTTAACAGATGGTGTATGAAAATTAAACCATGGTGTCCATGACCAAGAATCTTTTGGTTCACATATAATTTCTTGTCCAATAATTTTTGGTAGAAAAATAAATGTAGTAGAAATAAATACCATAATTAACATCATTGTTTTATGCCTTTTTATTTTATTTTATTATTCAATAACGATTAAAACAATAATAACCATCAAGTCGAGACTTATTGGATTAAAAAAAAAAGAAGTGGCGCAAGGTTCGAAAGAGAAATATACAATAATAATATGTTAGAATAAAAAAAATGTCATCATTATGTTGTATATATGTCTATCGATTTTGAAGGATCATCTTCATCATTCACAATCTTATATTATGATGTGATGTGATGTTTAAGAGAAGGACGAACATGAATACACACCTTTCGTTTTTCTTCATCTTCATCTTCGTTTTTTTTCTCTTAAACATACTTTCGTCCTCTGACGATAATCAGAGGGCTTCCGTTTTGTTACATGTCTACTGATCTTTTTTTTCTCTTTTTGTTGTTATGTACACGAAATAACTCAATTTAGAGTTTTTTGTTGCTTACTTGTTTTATTTGATATCGTAAATATTGTAATTTGTTGGCACTTATATGACTAACAGCAAATGTAAATACACTTGGTAAAAGAATGAATATAATCAAAACAATAAGCATATAAAGCTAAATAATAGAAAGTATTTTAATAATATATATGGATATATTTATTAGTTGTAATTACATTTTCGAATGTTGGATCTTGACGTGTATTAAGTTGAATAGCAAAAGCGACGAAACATAGAATTGCCAGTAGAGATAAAATTGAAACGAAGAATATATAAGGTTGAAGCCAAAAACGTTCACATGATTTTGAAATGCTGACATGTGGTGGTTCAATATGATTACGACCTTCATCGAGTAAACGTTGTTTTGCTTGAATTTTTGTTAAACCCTTTGTTAATAGAAAAAAATAAGTTTTTTTCTTCTTCTTTCTTAGATTAAATTAAAGGTCATTTATTTCAATAAGATATGAAGTTCATTTATGAAAAAAGATATATATGTAGTTCGAGTAGAAATCTTTTAATTACCGTTTTTAGATCAGTATCATAACGATGAACAAGTTCTTCAATTGAAATATGATGTTCATCCTAAATCAAAATTCATTTTTTTCGAAAAAATATATTTATTTAAATGAATAACTTACATAGTAAAGATCAGCATTAGCATCATTTAAATCAATTTCATTACCAATACGTTTTCGTTTTGTTCGAGAAGCTGGTCGTGAATGATCTCTACTAACCGCCGATCGATAAGATACAATTCGTGTCGAATCATTTCGATCATCATCATTACCTCCATTTGCATAACCACCATTCTAACAGAATACGAAAAAAAAAATATGTAATCATGAACTTTTCAAGGCTCACATATTGATTAAAATTTTCTTACCATTTTTAGTTTATGTTGATTGAATATTTCTTATAAACGATAGGGATTATTCATACAACCTTGAAAATGTCGCGTTTAAGCAAAAGACACGACAGTATACACACTGTATGTCCACTTCTATAACGTCGGTCAACACGTATATGAATGAATCATACCTGTCTGCATGAGTTTCTATTTTTCTTTCTCTTTCTTTATAACGTTTCTACCTATCGGTTCTTTTTTTTTCTTCACATTTCAACCTACTGTCGTGAAAGGACATAAAAATCGGAACAGACGAAGGAAAATTTCACTCGACCAATATTACCATTGTCGACATTTTGCGTTCTTCATCAATTCACCGCTGAAAGAGAATTGTATGTACATAGGAGAAGAGAGAAATGGCACAATATTCGTTCTTTAGTGCTTCAACTTATTTTATAACGACCACTTTTTTTTTATAGACTCTTTTTTTTTTATGTGATAAATCAAAAAAACGAAACTGAAGTATTGACATGAATTGAACTAAATATAATTATAAAGGCTGAATAATAAGAAAAAAGAAAGAACAGAGAAAAAAGAAAAGGATCTGAAATTAAGAGACAACACTTGGTAAAAAATGATATGTTGTTATTATATTTGTCGTAGTCAATTCTGTTGGTTTTATATTTCGACGTGATCGTTTTGAATTAAAAAAAATATAAATTAATATTAAAAATATTGTAAGTATCAAGATTCCAACAAGTAAACTTGTATGATACCAATAAAATGGAATACATAATTGACGATGTGCAATTATATTCCAAAATTGAAAACGTGCTTCTAAAAAATTATCTTCCACCAGAATTTTTTTTGCATAAAAATTGATATAGGATTTTTTTATTTTTTCATATGGTGGCCACTGAACAGAAACAGAACTTGGTTCATTCGGATTTCCTTGAAAATAAAAATTTTTTATTTATTTTCTAAGAAAAGCAAAAATCGATATTACCTGTTTTAGCAAAATTTGTCCAATATCGAATCATTTGACGACTAAGCTCGGTTTCATCTGATGTATACGATAAGTTCGATCGATTAAAGAATGGTATACCCCATATTAAGTCAAGTTCAGCAAAATGTCCAACCATATTTGGTATACGTTGAAGAAGATTATTAAGATTAAATATTGCCGGATTTGTATAATAATAAACATAAGTTGATGCTTTAGATTGTGACTGTAAACGTTCACGAAGAAAACGAATAAGATCATAATAAATCATTAAATCACTAAAAAAAACAAATAATTAGTAAGAACAGTTTTTAGTTCAGCGAGATTTGATTACCTGACTAGATTTGTGTAGAGATGAGCGATCTCAGTTAGACTACGTTCATGTTTTATTTTAGGCATATATTGTGCTTCGATTTCTTCATAGAAACAAAGATATTCAGGATGATATTTTTTTAAAAAATTTTTAATAAATTTCTTCTTTTTAAAATAAGAAAATCCATGAATTTGTTCATATTCCGTAATTGATTTTGCTGATGAACGTGAATTAGTTACTATTGAAGAATTTTTACGATTTTGTTTTGGTAAATAATTATAAAATATATGTTCTTCAGCTAAATATAAAGATTCATCTGCTGTAACACCAATTAATATATCAGTATTAACGAGTGATCCAGTATGAATCAATTGTTCGAAATTGTCAATTACTAAATCATTATCAACAACTGGAAATCTAATTATCATAAAAATAGGTAATAGCAGTTGATTAAAATAGTCATTTTACTTACGGATAATCTGATGATTTATCTAAACCATACTGATACGTATACTGAAAATCTTTTGCTGCCATTGTTTTTAATTGTTCGATATTCGAAGATAGAAATTTTTTTTTCGACTTCATGTTATTTTGTTTAATAACATTATTAAAACGAACTACTGGTTGTCGATCAATTGACCTTGAAAAAAAGGGTAGAAATAAAAATTTTCTTTTTATTACATCTCAATCGTAACATTATTTACCATTGATGAAATGGACAACCACTTTGAGCTATAACTCGAGCTATAATTCCGTCTGAATGTTTTGACATTGCAAGTAGAATAGCATTTGTTGCACCAGCTGAATGTCCAACATAAGTTATACGTTTTGCATCACCATTAAAATGTTTGGCATTTAATGAAATCCATTTTAATGCTAATAATTGATCATATAAACCATAATTTCCTGACATTATATTTGTATCTGGTGTTAAAAAACCGAATATATTTAAACGATAATTAATTGTAATAACAATAACATCACCAATAGCAGCAATTGCACTTCCATCAAATAATGAAGCTGAACCAATTTGATTTGAGTCACTAGAAGAAAATACCATAATTGCTTTTGGCATCGAAGATTTTGTTTTTGGTAAAAATATATTCAGTGTTAAACAATCTTCATCAAACATATCAGATAATTGAAATGGACCGTATGAAAGACCGCCAGATATTTGTAAACAAGCAGGTGTTCGTTCTATGGCATGTATAATTGTTTTTGTGTTGTATTGTTTTGGAACAGGCATTTGAAATCGAATTGGTTTTTCACCGTATGGAATGCCAAAAAATTGTTTGATTGGAACATCATTAATTCTTACTTGTTTACCTTGGAATAATCCTGATGTTGTATTTAGTAATAGTTCAGTATTCAAATCATTGGAAAACCTTAGTATTTATAAAATATATATATAACCATATGATTTTTAATTTAAAATTATTTTACTTGATATTGTTGAGTGATTTAATATATTGTAAATTTAATAGAAAAATAAAGACAATAAATACAAATATTCCAACCATGAATAAGAGATACCAGTACGATAATTGTATCTCATGGATCTAGAAGAAGAAGAAGAAGAAGAAGAACAAGAATTATTACACAGAGTGTCTGTTTATCTCATACGATTGTCCTTAATAGATTTACTACGAACAGCAAGAAGAATAACAAGAAACACAAAAGTTGAATATATATTCATCTATTCGCTTGAGTGATAAAATTGTTTTTTTTTCTGTGCCGATTAATGTCACCAAGAAAAAGAGGGAAATTTAATACTCGATCGCATATAGCAAAAAACTTGATTTTTTTACGTTGTCGCTGTTGCCTCTGAAACTTCCTTCCGTCGAATCCATTCGAAAATTGAGCGGCTCACTTTGCTCTCAATGTTATGGCACACAGAATAGAGAGAAAGAGAGAGGAAAAAAAAGAAGAAGAAAGAAAAGAATGAAAGGAAAAAAAAAAGAGGACAACAATACTGCTTTGAAATTCTTTTTGTTATTGTCATCACATTGACACTAACAATTATTAGCGTTGTCAGTGAATAAATAATGACAAAATACTATAAATACATAGAGGATATTCTTTTTGAATCTAGTTATGTTGATTTTAACACTCTTTTAAATTATGTTAATTATAATATTCATAACGCACTTTAACATTATTTTTCTTTACTTTATATATTTATTGACGAATATCTTGATCGAAAGTGATATAGTGTAAATGACCTTGAATCTCCTACAATGTGCACGATATTTTTATCGCTTTCTCTTGTTATTGAGAATCGATAGAAAATGAATAAAATGATTCTGTCGTATTGAAGATATAATATATATGTATATACGTGTATATGTGCATGTTGTTTATTTTTATTCCTTCTTCGATCGATCGATTTTTTTCTCTTACATAATCACCAGTTAAGTAAAGCAGCACTATGTACGATACCTGCATATATGTATATACACATATACATACACGAGAGTGATTAATGTCGTACATAAAGAAGAAAAAATGAAGGAAAAGAATGCGGAATTTAGTTGTAATTTTGACCTTTTTCCATATAGTCAGTTATGATCAATAAGATATATAAGGGTAACAAAAATTGTGTAAGGAAGTAGATGAATGAAGAAGGAGGCGGAGGAGGAGAAATAGAACATGAAAGATGGTTCCGTTCTAGACTCAATTCTATTAGTATGATTAAGAATACAATGAATTGATCAATTTAATAAGTCACAGTCTTTTGAGCTCGACAACAAATAGATAGTATAGAAGAAAGAAATATTCCTATTACATTTGTGCTTTAGTTGAAGAGTTGTACTTAGTTGTTATGAACAAATTTTTAGTGATGATCTAATCTAACATGAAATAAAAATGCCTTTATAGTAAGTACACACACACAAAAAAGAAAACCTTATCTTATCGATTGTATTTCTTTAATCGATAATGAAATAATTTGAAAAGATTTTTTCATACGAAATAATCCAATGGTTAAATTTATTATTAAAAATCAGAAATTTCCCTATAGAAGAAAGAACGTTGACTTTGTAAGATATTATATTGATCAAGTGAATTCTTATTATGTAAGATTGAAGAATAACACTACTCAGATGAAGAAAAGTTATATGGTATTGATGAAAAAAGCATCTAATCTTTTAATCAACCTACATTTATTATTTTAAAATGTCAACTTTGAAAGATTATATTGACACGTTCAGTTACATAAGCATATATATATATGCATATATCATTAGAAAAAATGTTTCAATGATATACAAACAATAAGTCAAAAGAGAGTGAGTTTCTGATGAAATTATTTTTTAATTACAGAGAAAATCTTTATATCAAATATGTTATCTTTACTTATATAAGCTATAGATCATCTTGGGATTGTTTCTCTTGTATAATTTGAGAGAATGCGCGTTCATCAACTGATAGATTGATAATATATGCATACTAATATATGACATGCACGAAGTAGATGATCGGTTCTTATCCGATAAAGAAAATTTATTTGAGAAAAAAAAATAAACATCTATATATACAATCATTAATGAGGCTTATTGATTTGATTCATTTACAATAATTATACAGGATTGAATGTTAACCTTACAGGATTTTTATTTCTATTCTTATCTGATTTGAGTATTCCTGCTATTATTAGTATTGTTATTCTATTCATGTCATTGTTAATGTTAGGAATAGTAAATATATAGCATATGATATGTAAATAAAGACAATCTAGACAAGGATTACCGATTAGACACCATTCTTAGCATTGAAAGAGGTTAACGACATGATCAGATTAATGGATAAGTATTGATTTAATAACAAAAATACAAGGTTTTTGTTGGCAGAAAAAGTTTTATGAATGAATTTATAGATATAATAAAAATTATAGCAATATATATAACATACCCAATAAATTGTGTGATTATGAAGAAGTGCTTTTCAAATATTTTTTCTTTTTATAGCCGAGACACTTCCTTTTTAGCAATTTTCTAATCAAAAAATATATTTTAATAAAGTAAAATACCAGACTTTTAATTTTTTTAATGCATTATTTATTATCAACATGTTATAATAATTTTCATCTAGATAATCTACATTGTACTGTAAAAAGATATGAGCTATGATATCTTTATTTTATTATATAATTACATATACTTCAAATTCTTTTATATATTTGATTCTCAACGTTATATTTATCTCTATCTGTTTAAAAGAATAAATTTCATTTTCTCAAATTGTGGACAAACATATAACATGTTTTTTCATCACACAATCATCATGGATATCTTAGAACAAGTTAGAGAATTTCAATAGTACGAAAAGAAACAAAAACATATTGATTTGAGAATTAAATATTTTTTTCTTGATAGAAACTAGCGATCCATGCATCTAATTCATCCATATCATAACTATAGGTTGTTTCACCTGGTTCAGCTTTGAATACTAATTTTCCGTTGTTGATTACATAGAAACGAAATGGCCATGATCCGTATGTTGTATGAAATGTGTTATTCATACTATCAACAAGCATAGGCATTTCAAAATTATATTTGTTCTTAAATTGACGAGCATTATCTAAACGTTGTTCTAATGTTGTTGGTTGATCAACACATGAAATTGTTTTTCCAGCTGGCCATTGATCACGTGCATGTGCTTCGGCTATATAGATTGTTCGTAGTTGCATAGCTGACGCATGTGAACGAAATAATTGACTACGAAAATTTAAATTTAAAATAACAAAATTAAAAAAAAGAAATGGTTTACTTAATTCGTTCAACAGCCGCTAGAAATGGAGGTCAAGTAGTTGAACCAGCCAAAAGAATAAGTGGCTGATCGGAAATTATTTGTGAGAAAAGTGTTGTAGGTTGTCCATCCAAAGTAAACAGTTTCACATCTCTTGCACACTCTCCTTGATTGACAAGACCTTGAGTAATTTTATTATGTTTAACTAGAAAGAAAATTAAATTTATATATTTGAATTAATTGTGTTTATTTTTTTACTATAAAAAGCTTCTTTAATCACTTGATCATCTGGAAAACGTGATAGAGCTGATCGTAATACATTGACATGACTATATCCAAAATGTTCAACAACATGTTGTTGAATTGAATCAAGTATCACTCTATTGATTAGAAAATTTTAGTTTTTTTCTTATATTCAAAATAATAATGAAGATTTACGTTATAGCATTATCATCTTTATGATATAAATCAAGCAATTCTTGAACAGATTCAGATAAACGTAAAGATGTTTCATATTTAATCATGTGACGAACAGTTTCAAGTGATGGTAAATCATCACTTAATTCTCGTTGAACTGTTGATAATGAAGTAGAAGAAGATTGATCATTTCCAATATCAGGTGGTTTGTTCACGACATCCATCCCATGCATCATGGTAGTAAAAATAAATACAAGATAAAAACATTATTAAAGATTTTACAATAATATTGTGCAAGACACGTAGGCACACTCACATGACAGAAAAAGAAAAACAAATTTACCTTACAGGTTTTTTACTTATAATGATTCATACATATGACGTTTTTATATTAAAATTCCTATATGAAAAACATCGTTCGTTACGGAATTTCACCAATTTTCTCTTTTCTCACGATTTCTGTTAAAAAAATTTTTTCTTGATATTACTGCCTTTAAACCTTCACCAGCGAAGGGGACCGTTAGCTGGCCGTGCCCATATATAGATGCATAAAAATTCGATGTTTTTTAATATATATGTCATTATGGTTGAAAAACGTTGAGTATAAAATTAGATTTAATTCATTCGAAAGTTTTTGCTCAACGTCATATCCTGTTAATTTCTATTGACATATTGAAAATCTATTCTCTTTCATTAAAACCGTTCAAGGTAAACTATATCAATGTCTAATTTGTTAATCTTCTTCTATTCAACCCTTAACCTATAATCATCTCAATGAAATAAACAAGAAATAATGAGTGTCATGAAATATAAAAAATATTTTTTGATGTCAAAAACAATGTTAGTCAATTATTATGTCTATTTAAATTTATTATATATCTCGTTTTTATAAATGACAGGAAATTTCTGAGATGAAAAAGAAGGCGTCAGATCATTCTAATTATAAGTATCATATAAAAGTATATTTTATTAATGATGAATGACAATAAATATATTCGAATAAAATCTTTAAATAAACAGCAAAAATAACATAAAAAGAATCATCACAGAATGCTACAAACAGTACAGCTAGCAATACGATTGGTAACAGCTGGTGGTTGATGACTAGTTGTCATAGGACCAAGACGGTGTTCAAGATGAACAGAACTACGAATTTGAAATGGTTGAGTTAAAGGTGCGCCAACAGTTGGACCAATATTAGCTGCTGTTAAAATAGGTTCAATAGGTCTTACAGGATGATCACTACCATCCGTTTCATTATAATCATAATCAAAATCATCTTCACTCATACTACTATTTGAACTTTCATTTGAATTAAGTGAATCTGTATTACGACGTTGATGATTTCGGGTTTGTTTTATATTTCGAGCAGTTGTTAATGATGCTAATGCTGATGATGGATGATTTGCAGCACGTTTATCAATTGATGATGAATGTACTAAACGACGAAATGTACTTGGTGACGATGATGTTGTATGACGAGATACCATTGATGCTATTTCATTATAACGTGCTTGTAAATCTGCTGCTCTACCACTACCACCATGTCCACCAGCACCTTAGAATTTCATAATTAATACTACGGAAATTTTTTATATTAGATTTCATACCTTTTAAATCGACATAAGCTAATTGTGAAAGAATTAAACTTGCTGCTCCAATTGGTGGCCATGGTGTTAATTCAAACATAACTGGTACAATTGGTTTTTTAAGCATATCAGCTAAGATTAATTCACGTTGACACATATTTGAACAAATATACATTGGTGTTATACAAGAAATAATAATCTAATTACAAAATATAATCAAAATTAAAAAACATTTTCTCATTAATTTTCTTTTTACTTTAGCATTTCGAATTCCATGATCAATTTTTTCATATAAAAGTTCACCTCCACCAATTTGTCCCATATCCATCCAACAAGTAAATCCAACTAGTTCTAAAAAATTCCGTAATTCTTTTACTTCATCTTGTATATCCCATTGATAACTAAGAAAAACTGATGGTAATGCGTATTGTGCTTCTCGTTCACGTGATATAATATCAACTAGATCATCACGACCAATTTGTTTCATTGTTGCAAGTAACATATCAACAGCTAATGATGAATTTCCACTTCGTACAATCCAATCTGTTATTAATTGTAAACTTGGATTTCGACTTAGGGAAAATTGATCAATAACAGATTGTTGATAACCAAGTTTTTTTGCTAGAATAACCCATGTACGATTTTCACTTGATGATTTCGTAAGATTTATAGTTATTTCTGATGTTGATAAAAGTTTTGCAGTTGAACGTACCCAATTCGGTAGATTTGAATCTTCAAAAAAATGATTCATAGATTTTTGATCATATAATATATCTATAATTGGTACAGCACGTGTTGTTGATAATTTTGGAAACCAATTACGATATTGATTTGTTGGTACACGACGAAATGAACATTCAACAATCTTTAAATAATTGTTTATATAGAGAGAGTGAGAAAGAGAAGTGAATTTTAACTTACGGGATTTGAAAGACAATGATCAAGATTGAGAAAATGTAAACAAAGATTATTTGAGCAATAAGGAGTTTTATGTAAATCACATATTTTTCCACATGGACACACAACCATACATTGAAATGCAAGACGACGTATCCATGTCGATTTAATTTCATTGAGCAATGATTCAAGAAATTTACGTACCTTTGCTACAACAGCAGGATCTGCTAATTGAGGATTAATTTCATCTTGATTTTTATTATTATTACTACTGTTATTGCTATTATTACTTGTTGTCGTAGTCGTTGTATTATTTGCAGTTGTATTTGGATTATTCCGAATAATCTGTACTTTCATTCGAGCATATTTTATTGATGAAGCCGTTAATATAAGTAAATGTTGATCATCAAGAATAAACTTCCCACGACGATAATAAAGTTTAGGTGATGGAACATTATTTGATTGTGTCCATTTTATAGTACGAACAAGAATTTGATGAAAAAGACTTTCTATAAATAAATAAATAATTAATTAATTAATATGTGAAACATTTTTCTTTACCTGGAAAATACCCATTAAATACATAATAAAATACTATTGATTGTTCATCTTTATCAATTGATAATTTTTCATTATATATTCTTCGTATAGAACCAGGTACATAATATTGTTTACATACATTTGTTGTTGTTGTTGTTGTCGGTGATGTTGATGCTGATGATGATAATGATGTACGTTCACAAAGAAGATCAAATTTTTTTAGTAATGCTAAAAGACTTTGCTTTTGTTCAATAAATGGTTGACAAAGATTTTCAAATGTTCGTTCATCAATAATTCCATCATCATTTTCATTTTCTTCATTATTATTACAAACAAGACGTTTGATTAATTGAATTAATTTTTGTGGACGAAGAATAAGTGTATTCTTTAAAAACATATCTTGTGTATTACCAAAATAAACAATAACACCAAGATCATGATAGAAATCAAGTAAAGTTTTAAGTTCATCGGAAGAACATATATCTTGTGTACGAGCTATTTCACAAATCTAGAATAGAAATAAAGATTAATAAAGAAACAAAATATTCGAAAATGGAATTTACTTGATCGAGTGAAGCATAAAAATTATCTTGTTTTTTTAATCGATTAAGATCATTTTCAAATTGTAACCATCGTGTTGGAATCTGTTCACCGATATATGATTCAGCAAGTGTTACATCTTCAATCAATTGTTTTAATTGATCAATCTAAAAATAGATAATTTATCTACATTTTTTGTTTTAGTCAAATAATACTTGTTCATAATCTGTAGTATCTGGATGATGTGTATCGACTGTAAAATAGGGTTCAACAACATGTTTACAATAAGGTTTTGTTGAGATCATTGCACGAATTTTAGCCAATTTATTTTCAATCTAAACATAAATATTTTTTAATATATTAAAATAATATTCCATAAAAACTAACTGTAACTTGTTTTGTTGAATTTGTTAATAGATTCCTATGAGTACCAACGAGTACAATCGGTGGTGATAAACGATGATCATTTAATTCATCATCTTCCATTCGTCCTTGATTAATATTAGCCGAATAACAAAAAACAGAATGCATAATATAATTTAAATGTTCAAGATTTGTTATTTCCTAATTAAGAAGAAGAAAGAAAATATATAAAAGCCATCTGTTAGCCCGATGGAATATGAGTATTATGTTCGAAGGTAAATTTAGACTAGATGTTATGTATTTTTAGTTTTATTCTATGAAGGTTTCTTATTAAAGTATGACTTGTCGCCCGTAAAAATAATTACTTTATTCCATTCACAAGGTTGATCAAGGTCTTTTGATAAATCAAATACAAGTAAATAAATTGCTCTTGACGATAAAAATATCTGATGTGTTATTCCAGATGATGAAGTTGATCCGGCCATATCCCAAAGATCAAGACGTAAACGTTGATATTCTTGTAATTGTTCTGATTTAGGTTTTATAGTATTATTCATTAGATTAGCAAGTACAGCGTGTGGATCTAACGATTTCATTTGTGTTAATTGTTTTTCAATTAATGAACGAATTGTTAGAGGAATAATTGGACTTGGATAAACAAGTTTAAGATCATCTAATAAAGTTTCTTTCCAATTCTAAACATCAAAGGAATTATTTCGAAATAAAAAAAATAAAATCAACAAACTTTATCTTTTTTTTCATGAACTGTATGTAATTCATAACGTCGTTTTAAAAGATTAAGTATAATATTATGTACTAATTGTGATTCATATTCTTGTTTTTGTATTGTTGATTTTGATAATTCATGTTCATCTATTTGGAAAAAGATAAAGTTTATATTTAAATTAATTTAATATTTCTCTATATACCAAAATCTTGAATAACTGTAGATAATAAATCATCCGTAGGATGAGAATGATGCGTAGTTTTTGATAAAGACCATGTATGTGCTTGATCAATATTAATCGAACATGATGACGAAAGATCAGTTGATAAATCATAACTATAATAAAAATAATGTTACTAAATAAGAAAATATGGGTTTTTTTGGTACCTATCGGAATTATTATTATTATTATTAGATATAAGAATTTGTTTTAAAGAACTTTTTCCACTTAATTTAGGTCCAATCATTAACAATAAAGTACGACGTACAGATGTTGTACCAGTATCACAAGCTGTTTGAAAATATCGAATTGCATCAGGTCCTCGTGCTTTAATTTCATAGGGAACAACATCATCTATTTACAGACAAAAAATAGAAAAAAGGGTAAACAATCTTTTTTTCTTCTCTTTACCGTCTCGAATAAGTTGAACTTTAATAGTATTTCCAAAAAGATCAAAGACAAGTCGAGGAGGTACAATTCCATTATTATTATTTTCATCAATTTGATTATTATCAATTAATGTACCTCGTAATACATTATTAATTGCATAATTTAAACAATAATTTTGTGTTAACCAAACAGTTAAACGAATTTCATTATATAAATTAATATATTTGTCAAGAGATACCATTGTATAAGATGAACTTAAATTTGATTCCATTGTTGATAATGGTAAATCATCTGTTGGAATTTGTTGACCAGTATATAAACCTAAACGTAATGATCCTTGCCATATAGAATAGGGTTGTTGTTGTAATTCGAATGTTATTTTTTCGAAAATATTTATTGGACGATTAGTAAAAACAATTCCATTAGCAAAACCAGTTATACGTCGTGCACTAAGACCATCAGATGATATATTAATTGCTGCACCATGGTTTATTTTGTCAAATAACAACATTATAAGTTCTTTTTTTCCTTGTAGTTGTTATTGTTATTGTCTATGTCAAATGATTATATAATTAATTCTACTGTGTGTCTACTATTCATCTTCAAGTTGAGCTTTTCTTTCTCTTTCTATCTATTTTTTTTCTTCTTCTTCTTCTCCTTTTTGCAAAAAGATTAAAAGAAAAAGAACACGGCAAGGGGAAGAAAAAGAAGTGGCAGTCAGGTAAAAGTAGATGATGAGATTGTCCTGGCGTATGATATATGAATTCTAATGCGTAGGTAGAAGATGTAGAAAAAGAAAGAATGAACGTTTGTTATTATGTTCCTATTCAATTAACTCTCGTATGGAATAAGATAAGAAATAGGAAAGCAAAAAAGTGTGAAAGGTATATAGTAATGCAACAGCATTTGTTTAAGAAAAGGAAAAAAAAAGGGAGAAAAAAACCTAGCGGAACATTCTTCCTTTTTTCTTCTTCTTTGTTAAAAAAGAAAAGAAATATTTAATAATAATAACCTTTTTTTTTTCTAATATTATTATATCACTTGAAAAATCTCTACAATTGTTCTTAAGTAAGAAGAAGAAAAAATTTTCTTAAGACTTTGGAATAAATTAATAATATTACATATAAATGACAAAAACAATCATCGCTTCGATGAATACGTTTTTTAATATTATCAACATATAAATATATGTATATATTTCTTTTATTGTTTTATAACAATTGTTCAATAAATACTTACATTTTAAAATATTAATTTAATTAGTTAAAATTTTTATATCTATAATAAAGTATTTAAAATCATATTGTTTATTATATTAATAAATCATAGATAATATTCTTTTACTCTTATTAAAACAAAAAAAAAGGAATAGTGTTACATTGTAATATTGTTTTATTTCTATTTATCTTCTCTCTTTTTTTTTTATTACGTCGTTATTTGAAAAACTAAAAAAAGAATAATGTAATTATTTATGCTAAAATCAAAAAAGTGAAAATAAAGACATAATTAGCATTTTTAATAAAAATTTGTTTTCTGCCAGGAATAATAACAGAGCTAATATCAGGATTAAAACTTAATTAAAACAAAATGTCATTACAGTTGTTTGGTCGGTAAAAGAAAATCCTGTCAAAATCTGATATTTAAAAAAGAAACAGACAATGTAACAAAATTGCTTGTCTTCTTCATCATTATTTCACTCATATACTGACAGAATCTGACACCTTACTGAATATATAATTACTTTTCTTTTTTTCAGACAAATAACAGTGGAAAAACATATTTGAAATCGAATATTTATTTTGCTAAATGATCTTCGAGGGAAAATATGGGTCCTATATATACAAAAAAACTAGACATAACAATTTCTATTCGATATGACTCTTTCATCTACAAAATTTTGACAAAAATTTTATTTTTAATGAAGATGGAAATACCTATTTACTTTCAATGCATTAACTTCTAGCTGTTACAATAAAATCATATAATGGATCGTTGCTGCATTTAATATAGTGCTCTATACCTGGACACAGCTGTCAGTATTATAAAATTTTATAATAAATAAAAGAGAGAAAAGAAAAACGTTCTATTTAAGTAGAAAAGATAATTGATTATATTTTACGTTCAAAAAAAGTGCATTTGCGTTTTAAAGAGAACGTTCTGGTTTAAATCAGTCGTACTTTTACAAAAAAAAACATGACGTATATTATATTGGAAAGACAAGCGTAAATATAAAAAATAGAATATGACACGTTGGAAGTCATACAGTTGAAATCAAGTTCTGGTTTGTAAAAAAGAATTTCATCAATGAAAACAAAAATAGAACTTACTACTTATAGGGATATACGCAGTTATAAAAGTTAGCACATGTCGGAGTGCATAAAACTATGATTTTAATTTCGTTAATACCTGTATTAGTGGCAGAATTATATTAAATTTGAGTACACAGAGTTGACACACATTTAAAATAACAATTATATAACAAAGTCAAAAGCTCAAGGTCACAAAAATAATTCATTCATTCGAATATACTTAATTATCTCTTTTTATTTGAACATAAAATCAGGCTTCATTAAAATGATGCTCTATTTCGATAAACAACCATTCATAAAATTTTTATCATGTTTGTACTCAGAGAGCAATAGTTATGCTTGAAAGGCTTTGAAAATTAGTATATAACAATTACTACATTCTATTAATAAACATTACACATTAAAGAACGTTTTCTATAGGTTAAAATAATATCGAAAATATGCTGTAATGTATGGGAATATTTTCTGTATTTGATTGATGTTATTTTATCCGGAAGTAGAGCACATCCGTCTTAGTATGTCTGATAATGTTCATCTTAACTGAATAGTTAAAAGATGATTCTTGACTTTCAATTGTTTTGTTGACTTGTCTCGATATATTGTTTGATCTTTTCTTTTTTGTCTGTCTCTCCCTCCCTTTTCTTCGCTTGTCCATCCGATTCACTCAATTTCACACATTGTTGCTTGCATGTATATATTCCCTCAGCGGTTTCTCTTTTCTAAATTTACATATAAAATAACAATAAGTTTAATCGATCTCTCCCAAAAGATATAAGAAAAGGTGGTCAACTAAGCATAGCCGACATCGAACAACGTAATCGAATTAACTTTATCGTTGTTATGTTTGATGAATGAATGAATGAGAATATTCGCTTGAATCATCATTCTGATGTCGTGCAATAATATTGAATTCAAATCGAAAAAGATTCATTTAAATATATCCGTGTTGAATCTTATCATCATGTTTTTTTGTCAATATAGAAAACAGCGAAAAAAAAAAATTTGAGTGATCTACCACACCTTGTTGATCTCTCCTCAAGGCATCTAAACCAATCAATAAAATACGACACTATACAAAATTGAATATTCATTGATGCGAAACGAAATTGATCAAGTCTTCTTGATATATTTTAAATACAACCATTGAAAGAAAACAACATCAACAACAACAATAAATGACAACAAAAAGAAAGAAAAAAAGAAAAAAAAGTATTTTTAAGACAACAACACACACCGATCAAAATAAAATACTGTCTTTTGTACATGAATAAATTCACATGGAATCAAATGTAAGAATATCGGCTAAAAATAAAATAGAAAAAGAATCAATGATAATATAGAATAAAAAGATAAAATTCTAATTTACGTTCACGTTGTCTTTTTTTTGCTTTCATACGACGATTTTGAAACCAAATCTACATATTTATATTAGATAAAATATATGTTAGACGAAGAATAAAAAAATTTACTTTCACTTGTGTTTCATTTAATTGAAGTGATGCTGCTATTTCAATTCGTCTTGCTCGTGTTAAATAACGACTAAAATGAAATTCTTTTTCTAATTCCTAAAAAATACCCAAACAAATTCATTTTCGTATATAGAATTATTCTTTGAATCTTACTGTCAATTGTTTATTAGTAAAATTCGTTCGACCAGCATTAGCTGCATTAGAATTCATCATTGAATTTGATGATGATCCATTCATTAGTGATGTACCATTATTATAATTGTAATCAGTCGGTTTTCCTTCAAAAAAACACATGTATATTCTTATCATTGTGTATTACAACATCATTGAACAAAAAAAAAAACTCAAAGAACAAGTGATGATAGATGATATTTTGATCTTATTTAACTAAATGGCATAATTTTTAATCAAGAGATGATCGATTCTTGTATGGTACTATATCGATCATCTTTCGTGACATGATGTTAGACAAGTGAGTAGATAGTGTAACTGATGAATTAAATATAAAAAAAGAAAATTCTCTCTCTCTCTCCATCATCTATTTTTTGGACACTTGGATGTATCAAAAAAAAAACAACAATATTTATCTTCGTATCTGATTGAAATACATTTCAGGACGAACACTAATATTATTTTTTTATCAAGATTAAAAATGAAAAAAAGCATATGTTCGATCAAAAAATTTTACCTGCTGTTTTAGCTGGTGTACGTTTTATTTGCATCCATTTATATTTTGCTTCACTTGCAACAATAGCAAGAGGTTTTTCATCTAAAGTTGATGTTGTTGACTGTTCAAGTTGTCTATATTGTTGTTGTTGTTGCGGCTGTTGTTGCTGTTGTAATGGATTATGAAATGAAGATGATGATGATGTTGATGATGAGGAAGTTTCATTATTAGATAATGGAATTGAAGAATAATCTCGATAGTTTTGTTCAGATAATTGTGAATTATTTAAATAAATATTACATTGATCAAATGATTGTATTGGATGATATATTGACCCATCACTTGTTGTTGCTACCCATGATGCTGATGGTGATGTTTGAGAATTATCAATACAAAATTGTTCATATGTATTTACTGGAATATTTGTGGATGGTGATGTGTATGTTTCATAAACAGGTGGTTGAGTATCTAATGTACAAATTGTTGGTGAACGATATATCTGATGATGTTTAGTACAATATGAAGGTGGAGGATTATAAATATAATTATCATCAAGTAAATTGTAATGATTTGGTTGATGTATATCAACAATTGAATTGTTATTGGTTGAATAAGTATCAACGGGTGCTTGTAGAACAGTTGTTGTAGTTGTTGTTGTACTACTACTAAGGTGAAAGTGATGGTTTGATGGGAGAGTTGCAGTCGAATTATGTGTTTGTAAATGTTGTTGTTGGTATCGATTCATCATGATAGATGATGATGGAGATTGATGTGTTTTTTTTCTTCTATGTATGTTGTTCTTCTTCTTCTTCTTCTTTTTTTTTTCGTTCTTTTTTCAAAATGATAATGAATTGACTAAATGTCGAAATATTTCTAGAAGGATATGTCGCATTTAATTCAATGGAATCATCAATCTAAATATTAAAAAGTAGAGAATATAATGTGTTTTGTTTTCTTTTTTTGACATAGGGAAAAAAAAAGAAAATTAGAAACCATAGATTTTTCATGCATTTGTTGTGAAATATGAGATTGATCATAAGGGGTTATGGTACCTTCTTCTTCTTCTTCTTCTTTTCTTCGCTGTTCTATTAAGATAGTTTTCTTTTTCTTTCTTTTCTCTTCCTCCCTTTGCTCGCGTTCTTGACGTTGTGTTGGTCAACATTCTCGATTAGTAAAAGGCAAAAAATTCCCATTGATCCAAAATGCTTGAGATCAACGACGAATGAGATTATTTCATACATATGTATGTATATATGTATTTGTAGAAGTTAAGCGCAAAAGGAAGAGAGCAAGAGAGAGAGAAAGAGAAAAATTTCGAGTATTTTCTTTTTTTTTGTCATCAAGCTCTTTCTTCCTGTTAAGTACTAATATAACATATATATATATATTCAAATAAAAAGAAGAAAAAAATGATAATATCACGCATCGATGCGAAACGATGGCGGATAATAAGAATGTGTTAATCGCAGAGAATATTGAGTAATAAAGAAGTAGGATATTTCAATAGAGAATCATCTCAAGATAGTTTACAAGTCATTAGCAGACTTTTTCTAAGGCTGATAATTGTGGTGATTGATATGAGACTTTTTTTCTTTTGACAGTATATTAACATGATAGATAACTCTTTTTTTTTTTATTTCAACAATATTAAGTACATTTTAGATATATGCATTGACATGCATTTCAACTCGTAGGGGAATTTTTTGTTTTTTGTTCTAATCAATAAAAATAAAATAAATATACCGACATTGAATTTTAATTTTCATATCCTGTCGGCAAAATAGCCGATTCTTCTTCTTTTCTATCATCAGGATAGCCAGTGATTTGTGACCGTAGAGAAAAAAAATCACGATCGGATTGCTTGACTTTCTTCTTCTTCTTCTTTTTTTTTACTAGTCATATATTTGTGAGTCTCTCGAGATTCAAAGAGAAGAAGAAGAAGCGCGCATATATATACGAGTAAACCCATTGCGCACACTAACTATAATCACTGAAGTGAACAGTACTCACACGGTGGTGAGCAATACATCGATCGATCATTCCTCTGACGACGTGTCGACACCCCTTGTGCACATATATATATAGAGATAGACATCTCTAATATGCGAGTGCCGTATATATACACTGCGGCAAGTGGAAAAAAGAAAAAATGAGCTAGACAATGACGAAAGCGATGAGAAAGCACGTTGAAGGTTGTTGTTGATTGTTACTCATGCATTTTTTGATTGTATCTAATATTTAGTTAAATATGTAGTTGTTCGATTCGAAAAGGCAAAAAAAAAGAAAAGAAGTAATTATTTATAGACTTTATGTAAAGATTAAAAAACAATATTTATTTCTCTTTGACAAGTTGATTAAAAATTTTGATGGATTATGACACGATTTTGTTTGTGATTACTGAAAATGTCTTCAAGGAATAAATCTTATCAATAAATCAAATACGCAAAAAAAAGATTTTGAAAGTGTTACTTGTATTATTACATCCAACAAGTTTGCTGTTAAATAGATCAACATACTGTGACTCAATGTAAAACATTACACACTATAGAATCTATAAAATGAAATCGATATAATAATATCTTCAAAACAAAAATATTGACTATACTAAGTACCGAATAAATGATATCAAATACATTATATATAATTGAAGTTTGATCTTGTACTTACTACAAATTTTGAAATTTGATATATATTTAAATAGATGACTTTATAAGCTTGTTATTTCTTTTCGATATATGGTAATTGATATTTTTATTTTTTTCAATATTTGATAGAGATATAAGTGTTTGAATAAAAATATAATATTTGATTACATCCCAGTATGCAGTATAAACCTCTATTCCTTGTTTTTGCTGTCTTTTGGACAATATCGATTGTTTCCGGACAAACAAATAGTAAGTAGTTTTTAGTGAATCTGGAAATATCTAATAAATCTGTACCATATTTAGTTTGCTCAATAAATCCTTGTTTAAACGGCGGTGCATGTATTGTATCTCAATTCTCAAATACATTTACATGTTCATGTACTCAATATTATTTTGGAACACGATGCGAACGTATATTGATAAGAATTAGGTTTTGAAAAGTTATTAATTTTATATTTTGTATTAGATATGAATCGATGTTCATATCAGTCAGCACTCTGTCGCAACGGCGGAACCTGCGTCCCGGGTCTTGATGGAGCTTTTTCATGTCGATGTCCGATATCATACACCGGGGTTTATTGTGAGACGTATTCTCAAACATCAAGTATTTTTAATTGTTAATAATTTTCTTCTCTGTATTTTTATTTTATTAGCTATTTGTTCATCAATGCCCTGTCGAAATAGCGGAACATGTGTAGCATATAATAATAATGCAAATTATTATTGTCAATGTCCACAAGCATATAGTGGATCAACATGTAGTATGTTATTAAGAAGAAAAATCTCCGATGATGTTCTTAAAAATAAAAATTTTTTTATTTAGCGACGCCTGTTACGGTTTGTCCTGTGGATTATTGCAAAAATAATGGACAATGCACCTTTGATTATACACTTAATCGATTACGATGTGCTTGCCCAGGAACATTTGGGGGCCAGTACTGTGAGATCCCAATTGGTAAACTTTTTACTTTTTTAAGAAAAAGAAAAAGCGAAATATTATTTTATTTTAATTAAAGGTCAATCAAATGCATGTGCAAGTTTTCCTTGTCATAATGATGGTAGTTGTACCCCAGCTCCACCATCTTTTCTATGTAAATGTAAAGATACATATTCTGGCAATCAATGTCAATATTCGAGCAATAGTATGTTAATTATTAAATATTTATTATTTTGGTTTTTTGGGAGAATAGAAAAATATCATATATTATTTAGTTAATCCTTGTTCATCATCACCCTGCAAAAATTCTGGCATGTATGCATGCAAATCTAATTAAAATTTTGCTCTATATTATTGGTTTTAGATGTGTTAATCTTGGAAGCACTTTTCAATGTCAATGTCAATCAGGTTTTCACGGAACAACATGCGAGACGCCGATAAATAGTTAATGAATTTTATTTATTAATCTTTTTTTTTAAATAAAAAAAAATATTTTTAGGTAATTGTTATGCTGGTTTTTGTTCGAATGGTGGAACGTACGTTGATTAATAAATATCTCATTTAATATTAATTTCTATTTTAAAGATGTTATTCTAATGGAAATACATTACAATGTATATGTCCAAATGGTTATAGTGGGATAAGATGTGAAACACAAACAAGTATAGTTCTTATGATTATCAGATTTTTTTCTTTTACATTTTATCTATTTAGCTTCATCATTTACACTTTGTGATTTAAATCCTAATTTATGTAAACAAGGAAGCTCGTATATATTAACACATTTTTATGAAAAGAAAAAGGATTATATCA